GAGGTGAATTTTACTTTTGATATCTTCTCTGTTGATAACCACAGAAAAATGTGAGATGATGCTTCCTTTCATATTCAAGCAGGCTTTCAAATCCCGCCTTTCTTAAATAGCTTTCCCTGAGATTTTCATCACTACACAACAATCTCTTTTCTTCAGCTTTGCCTGCTCTTGTTATACCAGTGTAATTATTTACCCTCACTCATCATGCTGTGAATGCACACACTTTCATTTTCTATAATTCCTTATATTTATGTTTCTCTTAGGTCCTCTTCTATCCCATAGTACTGAATACGGGCTAAGTGAATGACATTGGAGTGAAATTATACAACTACCATGTGCCTCAGTTTTCCACATCAATAAAATGGTGATAAAAATTCTCCCTGTGTTACAGGACTGATATAAGAATTGAATATAATAAACCGCAGAAATCCTTGCACTCAGTAAACTGAGTTCAGTAAATGTTAGTTACTTCTCTATATGGGAAGTGAGATTAATTCATTGAGTTTGTCACTGAGTTTTATCTCCTTGAAAATGCCATTGGACAAAGGAATTTAAAGAAGAGTATTGTGACTCTATAGAAAGGTTTACTATTGCCCATCTATGTGTAGTTGTTGAAGATTTTCAAATGTGTCGTTACTTGTGGTAACTGATATTATAAACCCTAGCTATAATTATTGAATGAATTTGAAATTGTTTTTGTTGGGCATACATTTTTTACTATGGGTATAGGTTTGGCACTGGTTTTCAAACTCTTGGTTAATTTACTTATTTTATTGTTAATTTACCTTTGAAGAACTCTCACATCCCCTGAAAAGACAGTTTCCACTCAGCCCTTCTCTTGACCACATCAAGGGAAAGTGTTGCTTTCTGTCCAGACCCCTGCATTACCACTTCCTGCAGCTTAGTGCAGCTGAACTAGTCTGAATGGACCTACTTATCTTGGTGGAAAATGATGGTAAGTTATGTAGAAGAACGCAGTAGACTTTACACCACTGGAGTGCAGAAAAACATACCGATTATATGCATATAAAGTTAGGAGCCGTTTTAATAAAATGGCTATTTTTATCACATAAATATTGCGTTAGTTTAATTTTAACTGTTAGTTTGGAAATGTGGGTTAATTTTTATATTAAACTATCATCTTTCTTATTACTTATATTTCTTAGATTTTATCACTTAGTGTGTAATATTTAATTAAACATCATTAATATAAGTATGTTTCTAACATTGCTTTACAATCCAATTACATTCAATATTATTTAATGCAAGGAGGTTATCTCAAAACAGGAAATTTAAATGGGAACAAGAATCAACTTTGTGATGAAGAGAAATGAGAATATTTAATTAATCAACAATATAGAAAAGGGATTTAGAATACATTTTATTCAGCATAGAAAACCCAAAAGTGTGATGGAATAATGCCTTAAGAGTATGTGAGATTTAAAAGTTGGCCAAAAAATAAACTTTATAAGAAAATTTATTTCTAAAATAACAAACTTTGGGACAAGGCATTGACTTTTTTCTTTAATATAAAATGCTTTTCTTCTTTCAAAGGAAGATTTTGCTAAATATAATAAGTATGGTTTCTATCCCAACCTGATCGCACAATTATTTGCCCTCTTGAACATTAGTAGATCTAAGATGGGTATAAGGAGACGATGTTTGGAATTAAGACATGTAAAATTCAGTTGTCTTACTTGAAATTCCCTTCTTGCATATAATAATTGCTGAATTTAGGGAAATTTTAAGAAGTTCAATACATTGAGAAGTTAATGAAAAAGAAAAAAAATATCTATAGGAAGATAATAATGTACATTATACCCATCAGTATCTGTAGTTATGGGGCAAGCATTAATCAGGGGAAAAATGGGACCAAAGATGAGGTTTCCTCCATATAAAACCCACTTCTTTTTTTTTCTTCAATTAACCTTATCTGCCTTTAACGACCCTATGACTCATATTTGTAACTCAGCGTATCAAATACTTGAACTAATTGATTGGCTAACTCCAGGTAATACAGACAATTGGCTGTGGATTTCTCTTTTCTATTTAAAGTTGTAGATCAAACTGATGCAGTTGTATGACAGGAATCACTATAGCCTCCCCACTGCCTCTCCTGCCATGGGTGGCAAAGACTGTCCATTTCAGTGTAGAAGGCTATACAAGTCATACTGTTATTACAGTTTGGATCCAGAAGAGTTTCTGAGTTATAATTTATATTTTCTTAGAGTTTAAATCTGAAAAACTGTTTATATTCCAAATTTCAGAATAGAACTAAATGATATAGAGAAAAAGATCATCAAAAGATCACAAATTTGCAGAAAAAAACAGTTCACCAGGAATTATAACAGGGTTACAGAATGGTAACAAACAGGCAACAAATGACACATATGAATATATCTGTAGTTGAATTTTAATTGTATCATATAAAGACAAATGGAAACCCAACATGGATGTTTTAATGTTTATCAATTATTTTCTCAAGTCTGGATGGTTGAACTATAAAAGCAAAAATATTATAGTGCAAGAAAGCTATCTCACCATTTCAGCACTGGAAAAAGTGTGCTTGCTTTATGAATATAGGTCTCTAGTCTCGTCCTGATTTTAAGAAGTAATAGTGATTTTCCTAAGCCCTAGATCTACAACCACACCTCCTGTATGTGGGGGTGGGGCCTATACTACTTTGCCTGGCCCAACTCATGTTTACTCTTCTACTTTTCTGAATAAATTTCCAATTGTATCATGTTTAGAAAAGGTAATAGAAAGATTTAAAAATTTAATTTTGATTCCTCTTCACCCCTTCTCCCCAAATAATGCAGCTGACTGCAGCAGCTGATCAAGGGTAAAACTGTTTTATGCCAATCGCTTCCCTGTGGCTGCCAGATTCCAAGAGCCTCCAGGGGCTAAGTTTTCTATTTCTCCAGAATACCCCAGGATGGGTCTTTCTTGTAGTTCAGCCTGGCCTTGAACTCATTATTTAGCCCAGGCTGGGGTAAAACTCAGTCATCCTCCTGCCTCAGCCTATTAAGTGCTGGCATTATAGGTATGCACCACCTCTGGATCAAAACATCTTATGGCTTCTTTTAGTGCTTCTTAGAATTTGAAGTCTAATAAAAGAACCAAACACAAATTTAAGCAATGTGAATTTTGGATTACACTCTTCCAAAGTACACATGTACCTTACTGCTAGAAAACCAAACTGATACCTCACACACAGCCTGAGAATCCTCTGAATGGAACCTAAAAATAATACTCCAACAGTTCAGACCTAACCAGATATTTCTAGCACTGTACTTAACAAGATAGACTTGGTCATAGAGGAGGTTTCTGTTTGGTTTAGAAGAGGCAAACAAAAGCCTCCAATCCTGTGTGACTCACATTTGTCCTTAGAATTGCACAGCTGGACACAGATAAAGGAAGTGGCTACCTCCACCCAGGAAGAACCCACTGAGAGCGGTGTGGCTGTGACGACAAAAGGACAGGCTGGACCAAAAGGACAGGAGCTGGACTTAGTCAATCCCTACAGGATTTCATGCTGCCATCAGGGCAGGAAGGGTGACAGGAGAACCCAGGGAGCAGCAGCAGCAATGGGGCATGCAAAATGAGGACAGCGACCAGCCTGTGGGCAGCTACAAAGCTCCCATTCCAGAAGGACCAAGGCATTTTAGGTTCCTGAAAATACTGTAGAGACAGATAATACATGGACACAAAGGAACAAGGAAAACAAAGACAGAGACTCCATTCACAGAAACTCGGCTTCTTATCAGGAAGAAGGCAGGACAGAGGCCTAGCTGTAAAAGCCTAGGTAGAAACTGAAGCCATTCCTCCACCCCTCACACTGCTGCACTCTATGTTCACACTCATGTTCACTTTTCCTTCTAAAGGCAGGGAGTAACCAGCTTTTATTACAGCCAATCCCCCTACCCATGTGCTGCATCCCTTCTGCCCTCACCCTTCAGGAGCAGTGCCAACCACCTCTGCCCCTGGATTGATTCCCTACCACTTTTTCATTTGGGGAAAGGATGCAGAAACTAACCCTTGCCTCTATTTCCCCTTCCTCCTTTCCCCATACTATGGCCTATTTACTGTTCCCACTTCCTCTCCTTCATTTCTTCTTCATTGACGCACAGCCTGGCCCCTCTTCTACAGATGCAGGGGTTCCAATCTCATTCGTGCTAACCAGGAATGTTCATACAGGCAAGTCCATTGGAAGTTTTGCTGTGTTTTAAATCATGTAAAAAACTTCAATATATTTTAACTCCCTAGAAGAATATCAGATAAATGAATACCACCATCCCTGCTAACTTAAAGAATTGAAAACCAGGTTCCCCAGCAGAGGTAGAAGCCTTTTGAGATCTCACTAAAGCCCATGTTCCCCACTGCACTTGATCGCCCCACACCATAGGCAGTTTCTCATTGGCAGTGTGTTCTTGCTTAAACTGTGCCCTGGTACACATCTTTCCTTTAGGCTTGTGCTACCACACCTGGCTCCCTACCTCTTTTGTCAACTCACACATCTCTACTCCTCCATAAATTCTTGGATCAGAAGCCATCTCTCCAGGACATCTTTCCTGGTCTGATACCCACTCCTTGCCTAGCTGTATGAGGTGCTCTTCTTTGTCCTCTCATGACATGAGAGTTAGGTTCTTCTGTTGCAATTACCACCCTGTCACATACCAGGATGTTTATGTGTAATTCCCCAAAGAAGGACTCAGTTCCCTGAAGACAGGGATTATCATAGACACCCCCAAGACAAGAGGAAAGTAACCCTTCTGGCATGGTTTCTTCTAGTCTCAATAAGGATTCGCTTCAGCCTGCATGGTATGTGTATACAAAAATTTGGAAAGAAGGGAATAGATACTGTGGTTTCCTATCCCATTTTTCTCTATCCTCACTGTCTGGCTGTACTGGTTCTGATATTGCCATGGTAACCAACTGTCATGGAACACAGACTATGTCCTATTTAGACAATTAGCCTCAGAGACTTGGGAGCTCAAGTATCTCTCATATCTCCTGCTTATTCTCTAGGTGTTGGCAGCAAATTTTCTCTCTCACATCATCTATTTCCCTCCTTTGGAAGTTTCCTGTGTTGACTAAGACTCTAATATTGGCTTTTCAATTCCATGGCCTCCCCACCCCCTGGAGGCAACTCCCCTGACACAGGGGACAGCAATTCTGAAATTGCGTCTTCTCTGAGCAGCTCTGTGGGCTATTCCCCCTGTAAAGACACCATTTCCCTTGAGGAATCAATTCTTCTTGAAGACACAACTTCCATCATGAGTTCTTCTGACAACTTCATCCCTCCTATCCAAGGCACGTGGGTGACTGAAGGTGTAAACAGACGTATAATTCAACAAAATCTAATTCAGGACAATCCACAGCAGATCTGCAAACTAAGTATCACTGTGGCCTGGGTGGATAATGATGACTTTGAAGAGTTAACAGCTTATGAAAATCTAAATGGAGGCAAGAGGTTGCTGGACAGATGCCCCAAAGACCAGACACAACTTACTGAAGACAAACTGGAAGCTCCAGTGAAACTGTTAGAAACATGTCAGGATGTTCACAAGGATGATGAAGAAATTAGAAAAGATGACAATGAAAATAAAAAGTATAACAGAGAAAATAATAAAGAAAATCAGAGAAATATCAAAGATGATGACTTTGATTGGATCAAATTTAGTCCAGTAGAAGACCTCAAACTGTGCAACAGCTGCCCTCCTTATACGGCTCAGGTCACTCGTCGAAAACATATGGGTCAAGACTTACCAATGAGCAAATCACAAGAAAATAAAGATGTTGTCCAGTTAGAGATTCTCCAAATGCTTAAGGAACAAGAGCTTGCCGAGGTGAGTACAGAAAAGCCTTCCAGAGAGATAGGGACAGGCCTGGTGTCTGAGTTGGACAGCAGGGCTGGACTCTGGGTGTCAGACAAGACTAGCAGGAGGTGAAGGAAGGCAGCATAAAAAGACTCAGGGAGAAGAAGAAGCAGAGAAAATACCAAGGAGCACAGAGGAAGAGAGGGGGGTAGGAACAAGGAGAAGGGATAATCATTCTAAAAAAAAAAAAGTGTGTTTTTCAGTATTAATGAGCACTGAAACTCTGCCTTTATAGTCAGGCTATTTCTGATAAAAGGATGTCAACTGCATAAATGAGTAAGTATGAACTCCATTACTGTTGTATCTAACTCATCTTCCTTTTCTTGGAAGATGGAAGGTGAGGTAACTGGCAAGCAAGACATAGACATTGTAGATATCGCCTCAACTTTCTCAGAATGGCCAGAAGAGGAGGTCATGCGTTCTGACCCACAGACCACCACCTGTCTGAAAGTGGGGCAGGCCTTCAACTGGCTGAAGAAGAGAATTCTTTCGGCTCTACGAAGAAGATGGGACTCTGGGGAGGCCACCAAGAGCCACCAACAGCAGACACCAAAGAGAAGACGACCTCTTAGAAGCAGGAAGATCCAACCAGAAGAACTCCTCAAAAAATGAAGACGGCCCTATATCCTGAGATTTTAAAAATATTTGTTAGCCACTCTTTAACACTCCCCATAGGCTTATTGTTTCTTAATAAGACAAATGTTGTTGTTTTAAAAAAATTACTTTGAAAGGTGTGCAGTAACATTAAATAATAAATTAGTAAAGTCTGTCCCAAGAATTCAAAAGGAATGAATTTTTGTTTTGTTGCACAGTATTTAATTGTTTATCCAGATTTTACCAGAAAGTAACATTTTTTAACTGTAGGGAATAAGTCTACTGAAAGTTCCATTAAGAATAGGAAAATTTGTTAGAAGAATGTTCACATTTTCCACATTGTCTTGTTGGATATCTATAAAAAAGAGAAGAGAAGGAAGACATAGAGAAGAAAGAGCAACTACTTAGAACATGGATTAGAGAAATACAGTTATTAGGCTAAATCTAGCCTATGACCTATTTTTGTACAACTTGTAAGCGAAGAAGTGATTTTACATTTCTAAAGGAAAGAAGAAGAAAGAGAAAAATTGTAAGTGCAAAAAGAAGAGGGATTGGATAGGGGACCAGAAGAAGGATGGGCAGGGGAGGAGCAGTGGAGAGTAGGGGAAAGGGAGGAAGAGAAAAGCATAAGGGAGAGAGGTAGGCAGAAACCACAGACCACAGTCTAAGATATTTGCTATCCATTTTTAGAAGGTTTGCCAACCTTTGGACTGGAAACATAGACTGTAATAGGAGGTATTTTTTAACATGGATTTGGGGGTTATGGGGTATTAGTGGCCTTAAGTGTAACAAAAATGCGGAATTTTGGATACATATAAGAAAGGTAAGAGGACAAGAAATGATACTGGACATTATAATTCATGATTCTAATTAAAAGGAAATGTCAATGTATGTAGTAGTTGTAGAAAATCCAAAAGGAAAAAGGAGCCATGTTGCATTTTGTCACCAAGATAATATCTCACAGACAGAGGTTGAGACAGTTTTGTGTCCCAACTGGACAAAAAAAAAAAATAGGAAGTTATAATAAAAACAGTGGAAGATAAAAGATATCGAAACTCAAAAGTTTCAGTGACTGACATTTTTCTATTACTCAAAATTATTTTTAGTGTTCAATGTTGAATTTTAAGATATTACTTATGTAAATAGTACATAGAATAAAAATTATCCTTTTTTCCTTCCTCAAAAACATGATACTGTAAAGATAACACTGTTCAGTTTATAATTTATATATTCTTCTGTATATTTTTCTATGCATTTATTTATAGATGACAATATTTACTATTCATGTTATTTAATGTACATAAATTATCATTACATGATATTACATTATATTTAACATGTACTATAATTTTACATATATAATAAATATTTAGCATATATAAAACAGTTGGTTTTTGTCTATACAAATGGAAATATATAGATATTGCTGTATGTTTTTTATGCGATGCTAAGGTTTCACAAATTTTAGTTACTTTTGAATAACTGTTTGCATAGGTTATTTTATCATTGTTCTTACATACTTTTCCTACAGCTCTTTTGTCTTCAAATAATTAATAATTGAATAATTCCTTATATTAGCTTAAAATTGGATTTTACAAAGGAAAAATTGTGTTATCTCTTTGAATTCAGGTAATCTTTATTTACTGGCAAAGAGCCAGAAATTTTCAAAGATGCAATCCCCCACTCCTCTCTGAAAATGGAAATATGAAATATTGAAATATGAAATATGAACCAGACTAACAATTTTTATGCTGAGTTCAGAGGTTAAATCAATTAATGAATGATAATTCTAGATTATTTTCAGGGTCTTCCCAAACTTCAAATAAATAAATTAAAAAAGAATTCAGGGATATGTATTTGTTTGGCATGGCTATTTGCTTTTTCTTCTAAATTCATCCATCTCTGACAATGTAACAGTAGGTTAAAAACCATGAGGCTCAAATCTTTGGTCAAATATGTTATAAAACCAAATTTAACAAAATGCAGTAAATATTACCAAATATCTTTATATTCCAGATTCATAAAAAATGGAAAGTTCTCAGATTGACTTTTCTATGATTCCATGTAAATTGGATTTAGATGTCAACAATCCAACTGTTGCTCCAACATGACTAATTATTTGTCATTGCTGGAGATGAACCTGCAGGATTATTTGCTATGGTTTACTCCTATCTGCACTTAGAAAATAATCTTTTCAGTTCTAAATCTTTTCTAGAGTAGGAAATCCTTGCTGTCAGTTGCTACCACATAATAATTATTTCTTCTAAATTGCTTTTGTGCAATAGAGTACTGGTTGGTAATGTAGGCTTATCCTGAAACCTTTCCTCATATAGCATTGAAATAGGACTCACAGTTATGTTTATGATTTGATTTTATTCAAAGGAATCATAGCGTAGCGGGCATTCCAAATGCTAGTAAGTGATATGGTCATCTCAAGAGAAATCACATTTTATCATTCTCCTTTCTAAATAGGATTACTGTTCTTAAACTGGGAATAGTACTCTCTCAAGAATCTCCTTTAGATATTAACTTTGCAAAATGTCCACACAAAATTACATAAGCTCTACATTCTCTTAAAGAGCATCATTACATTTGGTCTCTGATGCTAATCATCGTGATTTGAAGTGGCCAGTGGCAAACTGTATCTTTGACATTTATTATACGATCTGTAGTGGCCTCTTTACCATAGTCATAAGGGATGCTGCTTTGTAACGGTAATAATATTAATTGCTACCATTATCTTGCCTCTCATGTTAAAATTTGGGTGAAATGATTGGTATAGTCTAAATGAGCAGTCAGGGATGAAAAGGACAAAGGAGTAGGAGGAAAATACATGACTAGACTGAGCCCTGCTGCATACTGAGAGGTAATTTACACAAATAGGCTAGATGAAAACAGATGGGATGGGATGAGGGAGGGTGGGAGAGAACTGACTAATGACACCTGACTGCCAAATGACCCTGTGGGTTTGAACACTGGCAGGACACCTAAAACTGTGCCAGCAGCCACTTGGAACTGCCCAGCTCTCATTCACATTTCATTTAATAGTCTAACCTTGGTCTTTCTATTGTTGTCATCACCGGGGAAATGTATACCACATTGAATCATGATCCAGAAAATATACATTCTAATTGGGAACTGTTCTTGTAGAAGCTGTGTGTTACTGAACAGTTCACTTTAGTGTTATAGTAGCTTTTGTTTCCAACAGGGAAAATTGGATACATTTGTTCTTTTAAGCACCTCTCTTATAAACATATAGTATGTGGCGCATGTTTTTATTTTAATAAGAGCCGTAATGAAATAAAAAGAAATCACTTATTCTGAGAACACCATCATATTATTAAATACTTTGTTCATGGACAAATATGTTTGGTATTGACAGGTGAGGAATTCCTAGAACTATATGTAATGGATTCCTACCCATTTCCTATTCTTTTTCTTGCTTTTAAATATTAAATTTATTTCAACTACCAAATTAATTTCCATGGGTGCACATTAAAACTGTAATATGGGCTTGGAATCAAGAATTGTAAGTAATAGTACTGATTTTACTACCATGTAGCCAAGTAAATTAAAAAAAAGGCAAGTTTATGTTTCAGCTGTCCCATCTCTAAAACTAAAATGGGTTAATACATTCTCTGTAGCACTGCTGTGATCAACACAATGAGAAAAAAAATGTGTGCATGCATGTTTATGTGTGCATAGAAAGTGTTAAAAATATGGGTTACTAAAATCATTAATGCCTAGAGTTCATTTCCAGTGTAAATGCAAAGTTCCTAGTAAATTAAAAGTGAATAAAAATTTTGAAATCTTTCTCTATTAGCTAAGAAGCCTTAGAATGTTGAAAATTTGAGTATGAAATTGACAAGGAGTAGAATGTGAGAGTTAGGATAGATTGTCAACTTGATTAGTTTGGGCACTCCCCAGAGGATTAAAGTGTACTTCTGGGCGTTGTTTGGATTTATCTTGGAGGAGTGATGTTGGGTGCTGTATCTGGTCCTTTGCTTTTCTTCCTTGGTGCTGCTCTTTTACCCATTCTGCAGCCTGGCCACCATGAAGTAGACATCTTTATTTTACCACATCCTTTGGCCATAATGCTTCTGCCTTGGAGCCAGCCAAGCATGAACTGGATTCCCTGAAATTATGAACCAATTTCAACCTTTTCTCCTTTAAGTTTTGGATGTTGGACATTGTGTTATAGTGCCAGAAAGCTGCCTAATTACAATAATTATATTAATTGCATTTATTAGCAGTATTTATGGATCTTAAGAGGCCTATATATGCTACTGAAGACAAATTTCCCTATTTTTTTCTCTTTAAGAAATATGAAGATGATATTGAAAAAGTGAATAGGGAACACAAGCTCAAGTCTAGATTATATTTAATATCCCTAAACTATATAATATTAAGTGATTATTACTCTTTTCATTGAGAAGTGATTCGCCTCCCTTGACTTCTTCCTGCACTAGTAACTTGGAAAAGACCTAAAACTATACACCAAGAGGAAGTGAGTTGATTTTGGATTTTTAAAATATTCAAGTTGAAAGGAAATTCCGAGGAATCAATCTGTTCAACCTGGCAATGAAATTCCTCCCCCTCCCACACCTTATTTATTTCTGATTTCTGAATCTAAAATGCACTATAAGTTTAGTATCATTTATTTTGTCAAAACTGAGATATAGAGGACATTGTGAATAGAAACTAACTAATTTTAAATCATGAAAGTTGGGGTAACCTGGCATCAACCAGTGTGTACTCCTTGTTAAGCCACTGAGAAAGAGGTAGGTTTTTAAACAAAACAATCATAACCTAGAAAGTAAACGCTTGGAAACATCTCACTCTCTGGACCTTGAAATCTAGAGATACATGCCAAATGGATGGATTGTATGGAAAGGTGAGAATAACCAAGGATTTCAACAAGTATGAATGTAGAATTATTGAAATCAAAAAAGAAATAGGGAGGAAGGAAATCAGAAGAAAAGGAAACTGTTGAAGAATAAGAGAAAGAAATAAAGAACAAAATAGCAGAGGCATATTCCCTCATATTATAATCTAGTTTCATCACTCTGAGTTCTTAGGACTAAGGTTTCTGGATGGACTATGAAGTTGATGAGAGGCCTTTGACTCGCAGTGT